GATTAATAAATATAAATTTATTAATATACCTTTCCTTAAGATAGGGTATAGGGAGCGGAGGGGAATCAGAAGGGTTAAAGGGAGAGGGGTAAGAGAAAAAGAAGGATTAGAGGGAAGGGAGAGAATGAGAGTAGGGAGAAAAAAATAGAAAGGAAGAGGAAAGAAGAAGAGTAAAGGGGGAGAGGAAAGGGAGGAGGAGAGCAAGGAGGGAAAGAGAAGAGAAAAAGGAGTAAGATGAAAGAGGTGAGGGGGGAAGGAATTTAGAAAAATTGTAAGATCGTAAAATGGCCAGGAGAGTTGGAGGAAAAAGAGATTATATACAGGGTGTCCGGTAATTGTCGCCTCAATCGTCGTGTGCAGGTAAAATAAGTTAAATCGAATAGGAAAGTCCTCTACCGTTTTGCGATTAACGTAATAATTATTGAATTATTAAATAAGAAAGATCGGCCAATCCACGCGAATAGAAGCGCACGACGAGAAGAGACGTCCTACTGTAACACGATACACGAAGATTTTTCGAACACGATTTGTAGACAGTCATCGTTCGCTCCTCCTTCCGCTTTATAGCGCGCCGTGGATTGTGTTACAGTAGAACGTCTCTTCTCGTCGCGCGCTTCTATTCGCGTGGATTGGCCGATCTTTTTTATTTAATAACTCAATAATTATTGCGAAAATCGCAAAACGGTAGAGGACTTTCCTGTTTGGTTTAACTCATTTTACCTGCACACGACGATTAAGGCGACAATTACCGGACACCCTGTATATGTATGAGGGGAATAGGTAGAGAAGTAAAAGAATAGGATGTTCTGTTTTAGAGGTTAAAGGAAACGGAATTAAAGAGAGAAGAGAGGGAAAAGAGGACAGCTGAGAAGTACCACCCAGATGGAGGTAGAAGATATGAGGAGAAGGAAAAGAAGAACAGAGGAGAAGGAAGAGAGATGGGTGAGGAAGGCTGTCGAAAAGAATGAAAAGAGATATAGGTACAATGTAAAGAAATGTAATGTAATGAGATGTAAAGGAATTGTAAAAATTGTAAAGAGAAAAAGACGAGAGATTGTGAGAGGTTTGGCGGTCCTTGGAAAACGCTCGGCAACCCTGAGAGAAATCCGAATAAACTGAATTGAATTGAATATATCTTTCCTTTTCAAAATCGCAATTGCTTGTAACGCACGCACTCTACAATTATTTGATTCACCCGCGTTTCGCATACAATTTTTTGATGACGCATTAACGTCAATACGATCTATTTTCCCGCGAAGATCGCCGTGATCCCAGCAACTATTGGTTGGGTTGTTTTATCGCGATCCAGCAACGCGTTTACTTATATCACGGACCATCAAATATTGCACGACGGTTGTTATTTCGCGACGCGACTAATTACGCAGTTCGATTGATATTGAGACTCGACATCCGCATGTGATCGCTTGTTCTACGCAAAAAGCCTCGAGAGCTCTCGGGAGGCTCTTCTTATACTACTATTCCCACCAAAGGGTTTTCCCTTCTCCCGGTGATGGGAGGTGATATGCGCGCGCCACCTGGCTCCGCCCACGGTAAGCCCGCACAAGAATAAAGTGCTCGATATTTGACAAAATAAAATAAAATAAATTTGTACACCTTTTTGTACAGGTTAAATAAAACATACTATGCCTCCTTGAGCCGCTGACGTCATTTTACATGACGATATTACGCATAAACTACAATAAAAATCATCAAGAGCGAATTACGCTTAAACTAAAATAAAATAATAAAACAAGGTCCTACGCCTTCTAAATAATATAAATTAAAATAGGATATGTCTCCTCGGGCCGCTATCTATGTTTTATCAGACGCTATCACGTTAAACAAAAAATCTACCAAGAGCTACGTGCTCTTTAAATAATAATATAAAATAAAACGAGGCCGTACGCCTTCCCAGAAATCTAAAATTAATTCGGATTTAGATCCTTAATCCGCTCTCTTTATTTTTGCGGAGAATAAACAAAATAAACAATTAAAACTCAAAAATAAATACGCTAAATAAAATATTCTTTGCCCATTATCGGCACCTGGATACTTCTAGTTTAATACAAAAAACTCAAATATATATTATGTTTCGCGATGCCACAGATTAATAGACAGATCGCCAAAGGTCTGTCTAAAGAGGAGACCGTCATTTTGCCCTTTATTGACACACTTTACCCCTGGTTCGAGTCCAGGCTAATAAAATTCTTTGATTTTACCAAAAAACTTTGCCTTTGGTGCGAGTTTAGGCTAAAATCTTTTATTTTACACGTTTAATCAAATGATTTTAGCCTGAACTCGCACTAGAAGCAAAGTTTTTTGGTAAAATTAAAGGATTTTATTAGCCTGGACTCGAACCAGGGGCAAAGTGTGTCGGTAAGGGGCAAAATTAACGGTCTCCTTTTTAGACAAGCCTTTGGCAATCTGTCTATTAATCTGTGGCGATGCCACGCATTTGGGCTCTGGGTGCCCAAAAGTGCAGCTAAGTGTACCTCTTATGGTATATGCATCTTTCTGCACTTTGTTGTTTAAATACTTCCTTATCAGTGATTTTTCCTTATCAGTCATCTAGTGATTCTAACGGTTATCCTATATTCTAATCTTATTTACTGATATAAATACACTATTTACAGGTCGTCGCTGGGCAACTCGTCCTCGGGGCCGCACTGACCTTTTGATACCGTTTGGGTCCGTTTTGGTTTCCTTTCGGATGAATTTTCTCGGTGTTGCGTTTAAGTTTGGACTTATCGAGTTCTCTTGCGGTGATATCAGGTGTTGCTCCGTTGAGGAGGCTGAATCTCCCGGTTTCAAGATTCACTTTTTATTGAATATACAAATTGAAAAATTTTCTACAATGAAAGTACTAATAATAATGAATGGGGAGCACTGTCCTGCAACTAATTTTTGCTGCTTTATGCCTCGACATTGATTCCGCATGCAAATATACATACATAATTAATTCAAGTACGAATCTTTTGATACAGACATTTAATCTCATTTTTATTACTTCTGTATTATTCTTTTTGATATAAATTTGACATTTTAAAGTCAAAATGACATCATTTTGACACTATCGTGACTTTTTGTTCTCCTTGGGTTTATGTCATCTCTATTGGGAGCGCCATATTTTGTGCACAAATAAACTGCAGAACTTTTGTATTAAATAACTACTGTTATGAGCTGATGCAAGAGGCCGATAAAAAACAGTAATTTTTTACTTTTATTGTTTTTTTATTTATGCAAAATCACAGCGGTCCCCGTTTGTTTTATTATCAGTACTTTAATTGTGGAGAAGGATTTTCAATCTGTATAGCCAATAAAAAGAAAAGTTCTTGCACTTGTTACGTCCAGACTCAAGAAAGGAAGAGTCAGAGGTTGGTATTCACAGTTGGTTCTTATATTTAAGATCGTCTTAAGCCCTCGTTCAAACAATCAAATGGCCGTATATCATCTCTTGATTGGTTGAACAAGGTTTTAAGACGATCTTAAATAAAAGAACGACTATGAATACCGTTCAGAGAAAGGACGTAACTACTGATTTTGTCGAACGATCCCGAACGGTGCGTCTGTCCGACCCGAACGAACGTGTGAAGGCCCAAATAGGTCAATGACCGAGCAGGTCGCTATTACTCTATTTTAAAGGGCTGTTCGTCAGAGGTCCCTTTTGGACAAGAGAATTTAATCTCTTTATTTGCTCGGGATGGGACCTTGTGCAACTTCTGGTTTGGGAAAGAACGAGAGTGGGATTTTTATTCAATTAATTAGATAGAGTTAAATTCATAATTAAAGATTAGATTTATTTTTATCATACTAAGAAAGGGAAAAAAACTTTATACATAAAAAATATTAAATTTACAGACCTTAATTCTACGCAAAACGTACATAAGAGCGAGTGTGCGTGAAAGTGTGTGTGTGTGTGTGTGTGTGCGTGTGCGCGTGCGTGTGTGTGTTTTTTTTTAATGAAGAAAAAAGGTGCTCTTTACGCACGTATTTACGCCACACACAAGGATAAGTACGACATTGGGCTCGGTCTGGCCTCACTAGGTCACCCGAAGGTGAAGGACCACGGATACCTGGATGATCAGTACCCGGCTGGAGTAGACCCCAGCGACTCATACCAAGTAAAAAAAACAACCCTCGACAGCCAAGCCTTGATCCCCGCGGAACTGCCGTCAGGCTTTACTTCACGAGGGGCGATAGCTATTGCTAGCTCTTCCATCCATTTGACAACCTCCTCACTTCTTCTTTACCATGGTGTTGGTGGCAAATTTGGGTTCAGGGAACTTTCTTTTTTTCTACTCTTTCTTCTTCTATCTTCTTTCTTCTTTCTTCTTTACGCTTCGTTTCGTAGGCCTTTGAGGGCTTTAGGTGTGAATATGTCAACTGCTCGCAACACCTTCTTTGATGACGTCATCATTTCTATCATATTATCCAGCAGGATCAGAGTTCAACCTAAGTAGCGTTCCCAGAGGAGATATCCACACGCTTGGCAGCCGTGCAGCATCCGCTCTAGCCGGTAAGGCCGGCATTCCCTGTGCATCTGCACATTGGGTCCGCTATTCCTTAGTTCTTTACTTCTATCTTTTTTCTTCTACCTTCCTCCTCCTCTGCTCTTTGTTTCGTAGGTTCTTAAGAACTTTTGAAGCCAAGGTGTCGACAGCTCGCCATGCCTCTTTTGATGTGATCATCACTGCAGTCAGTCTCTTTGGCGTAATTCTTTCATGTAGCGTTGTTTCTAGCTCACTTCGAGCTTCATCAAATCTGGGGCACGTAAAAAACACGTGCTCCGCGTCTTTGTTGATTCCTACACAGGCCCGGCACTCCGGGGACTCCTCATACTTATATTTGTAGAGGTATGCTCTGAAGCACCCGTGACCTGATAGCATCTGTGTCAAGTAATAATTAACCTCACCATGGCTGCAGTTCGTCCACTTATCAACTTGGGGAATTAATCGGTGCGTCCATCTGCCCTTGGTCGACTCGTTCCAGTTCTTTTGCCATCATTCTAGGCTCCTTTTTCGTTCTTCCGTTTTTAGCTGCTCTTCTTTTTGTCTTTTTTCTGCACTGTTTAAGGCTTTTCGTTGTTGAAAGACCTGTTTCCGTTCCTGCGCTAGTATCTCAACTGGCAAAAGTCCCGAGATAACTTCGGCCGCCTCTTTTGACACTGTGCGAAAGGCACTTGCCACTCGTAGGGCGCTTAGCCGGTATACAGACGTCACTTTCCTGCACATGCTCCGGGTCGCAAGTGCATCCGCCCAGATGGCAATTCCGTATATCATTACCGATGTAGTCACCGACGCTAGCAGTGCTCTCTTCTTCTGTTTCGGTCCTCCAACGTTGGGCATAAGCCATGATAGCGTCTTTCCGACTGAAGCAGCCTTGGTACTCGCATTCTCAACTTGCGCTTTAAAATTCAAACGTGAGTCAATCAGCACCCCCAGGTATCGTATAGATGACTGAGTGACAATTCCATGTTCTCCGACTTTCAAAGTCACTGTCTCCACGGTCTTCTTGCTAGTGATTAAAACTCCTTCCGTTTTGTGTTCCGCCAGCTCTAGCTCCATTTGCTCCATCTACTCTGCACATCCCAAACGATACATTGAAAAGGTGAGAAGCCTCGTCCAGATGCTTAGCCACGATTACCATTGCGACGTCGTCAGCAAATCCCACCTTTGTCACTGCGCGGAGACCTTTAAGCTTGAGCAGTCCATCATACATGATATTCCACAGTAGTGGTCCAAGAACTGAGCCTTGTGGAACTCCTCCCGTCACTTGATATTCCTTGGGGCTTTCGTCCGTGTCATACTTCAGTACTCTGTCTTCAAAATAGCTTCTCACCATCTTTTGCAAATATCCAGGCACATCTATTTTCGAGAGCGCCTCCATAATACGGTTTCACCTAGCAAAGTTAAAGGCATTCTTAATGTCTAATGTCACGATTAGGCAATACTGCTTCTCTGCTCTTCCACCTTTCCCCAGATATCGCCTTTTTTGCCTTATTTACGACGAGGTTAACGGCGTCCAGCGTGTCACGGTTTTTCCGGAGTCCGAACTGGTTGTCGGATAGGTGTTTCTCTGCAATTTCTGTTATCCTCCCATATATAATGCGCTTAAACACCTTTCCCGCTGTGTCAAGCATGCACAGTGGACGGTAGGATGACGGTTCGTCCGGTGGCTTCTTTCCTTTCGGGAAAAGGACTAGTCTCTGTTGCTTCCACTTGGCCGGGAAAGTCCCCTCCTGCAGGCACCTATTGTACATGAAAAGAAACATCTCCGGTGTCTCTTGAATGGCCGCTTTCAGCGCGATGTTGGGAATGCCGTCCAGTCCGGAGGTTTTTGAGATTCCCACCTTCGAACACGCAGTCCTTAGTTCCTGAAGTGTCACTGGCGGTATATCTTGTGACGTGGTCTTTTGAGCCCGTCACAAGGGCGGACGCGCCCGGCCGGGAAGCGTCTGAGAGCGCTATATTATTTTGTGTCTCGTGCGGGTGAGCAGCGACCTTTTCGCTAGCTCGCCCGCACTCTGTATCGGGATCGAGGTGGTAGGCCAGGAGAACGGCCATTGTTTTAGGGAGAAGAGGACCCGGACAGGCGACGGAGGAACGACCTCGAAAGGGGAGGAGCAGAGACTGAGCGACCGGCCCGGTGAGTATTACGAACGATAACCTATACACGGTACCGAGAAAATAAGGAAGCGATACTGCAGAGAAACTCGTTACAGCTTCGATGGGACGAACAGGAGCAGTCCAGATCAGGGAGTAAAAGGCGCCTACATCCCTCGACAAGGATGATGCCCTGAGGGGCCCGCCACCACGCCTCGAGAGAAACACGGAGATCTAACGGGATTGATCACCCCGGAACGACTTCCCTCAGCCAAGAAAGGTCGTTTGGAACATCAGCATACGGCCATACGAGGTGTGGACGGGACCGCCGAAAATGGACCTGCTACATCATCGCTCCCGAGGGCTGGAATTTGAATTTGGCGGCGGAAGTCCGCGACCAGCCGCGAGACACCGGAATCGATACGAGGATCGATTCCGGGTCCGGCGCGGGGCGCAACGCTGCCGCGAAACCTGGCAACCGGGCCGGGGTGGCGCGCATTGTCTTCCCCCTCCCCACCAGCGTACCTGCCGAGGTCCCGCCGGCCCGAAAGGAAATCACTGTTCGGCAAGCCGGTGTCCTGCGAGCACACCCAGGGACAACGACCCACGACAGCCCACTGCGACGGCGAAATATTGTAAGGCCACCTCCTCGATCGTCCGGTAAGCGCGGATTCGGCAGAGATCCGTGAGTCATTAGAGAAAATTAACGATACCGAGCAATTATGCTGTAAATCTTTTAGTACCGAGAATTAGTGGAGAGACTCACGGGACTCACGTCGATTTCCGCGTCATTAAGTTATTGCGTAAATCTTTGCCTTCTTCGCCTCTCCGAGGGGCACCGAAACGAGTCGACAGTCATATCGTAGTATATTATATTTGTAGCATTGTATCGAGTCATTAATTAACGAAATTTGAGAATAAGTTACGCTGGATTGGTATATGATCCATTCGATTCCGAGCCGGTTACAAAGGGAGGAGAGTAACGATAACTAAAGATTTCGATAACACCCAGCGATCTCCCAACGGCTCGATAATAAAATTATAGCTACTTTGATTCACACCATTTATATACTATTAACTGAAAATATATTCTTATTTTATCCTATTTCTGAGTACAATCAATATCGAGATTTCCTCTCTCTCTCCGGGACTGCGATTCCGAATCTCCTTACGAAAAGAACCACGACACTCTACCCCTGTTGATACCGAGCTACCGAGGCCGAGCCGTCGTGTCCGCTGATTATTAGTTGAGCTATTGTTGAGTGGTGCGGCCTGACCGCACCTGGCGCCCAAAAAGATACGATACCGAGCAATCAGTGATACCGAGCAAGTATCGAGAGAACGGAGAGCGGCACGACGAGGTTGCGCAGCAGTCTCTCTCGCCCTCTCTCTCTTAGTTTGACGAGAGAGGACGGAGAGGCGGTCGCAAATTTGGCGCCCAACGTGGGGCCTCTCGAAAGAGAGGATAATTAATAAAGGAGAATACGTGTCGTTTCGGGTAACGGAGAGACAGTAGGGTGAGAGAAATACTTCTCTTTTGTTTTTCTTTCCTTTTTCTTTGTCTATCGGGCGCTGACTTGAGTCTCGCCCGAGCCGGGGATCTCCGTCGGAGATTCTCCGAGTATTATTTGACTTAATACAGTCGATGACTTTTGTTTATTGCATGCATTTGTATTACTTTGTCCCCAATTATTATTGTTCCCGCGTTATTAAGATTGTTCCCATTGTGCTTGTCTCGATATCTCGAGACTTCCCGTCACAACGGGGGGGACTCGAATTTGAGGTGCCATCGCGTTAAGTGCACGAGTACGAAGGAGCGCTACGCGTATGACAGAGAGCGACCACCGACACGTTTCTTTGTCGCGAGCGGCATCGTAAACCCGACCGCGTAGTATAGTATTACAAAGGTAGCGCGCTCATACGCCTTTTACGACTTTCTTTGATATATCGAGTGAATTATAGGCACCTGATTGATACCGAGTTTTTCGTGTGATACAAAGTCGGCAAATATTCCTGTCCCAGTATGGGGAATAGTATTGGAAAGCGACGAATTTTTTTTTCTCTTCTTTCTTTCTTTCGATCTCTTCGCGGAAATATTTACCACTCGTCGAGCCGAGTCTAAAAGCGGGTAAACACGTATTGTTCTTGAAGGATTATCGCGTCCTCAGATATTATGGTCAAGATACCGAGAGCTAAGAACGAATATTGGTGAATAGATGTTTACGCGAATTCCCGAAATTCCTTAGCGAGACTCGACTCAATAACGGACGTCCGTGTATACAAAGGAACATTTTCTTTTTTTTTCTCTCCCACCTCCTCGCATACGCTGCCTTTCGCGAACTTGTTAGTTTCTTTCTGTTTATCGAATTAGGAATAAGAATAGAATTTTTTTTTCTCTTCTTCTTCTCTCTTCTTCTCGCCCCTTCTTTATCTCCTCAAGAGATATTCGCGCCGAATATTCACGCCTGTGAGTGACTTTCCTATTAACTAGGAATTTATAGAATATCGTTCGCAACATATTTTCGGGTTCTAGGAGGGGGGGTATCGTGACCGAGCGGCGTAATCAAGGATTGACGGTGTCTAATTTAGACAACGCTCACAAAGATACCGAGAAAGAGTTAGTTGGCGAGACAGTTGAGGGAGGGAGCGTACGTTTAGTCAATCCGGTCACGGTCCGCGTACTATCTATCTTCCCCTTCGAGATCTCATTTCCCTCACACCGTCACTAACCATAAAACGAAATGTCGACAAAAGAACAATTTCGGTGGATTCGAAAGTTATCAAAGGAGGAAGTGAGGTGTGCCCTCGCGGAGAGAAAGCTGTCCGTCAAAGGGATCCTCCCCACCCTTAGGGCTCGATTATTGAGATACGAGGCCGCGCAATTAATAGGGCGAGAGCATATGCCGACCCCTGAAATATCGGAAGCGTCAGACGAGGAGTCGGATACCGAGGAAGGTGCTGTCGGGGGCGAAGCCCTAGCGTGGTCCTCGAAACCGCGAATCAGGATACATCCCCCAGAGCCAACAGAGACGCACCCGGAGCCGCGGAGAAATCCCGAGCCGTATCGCCCTCGCGTAAAACCGAATTTCGCCGTGGACGCGTATAACGTAATGCGAAAGTGGAATTTAAATTTTTCCGGGGCACGCGACGGGGAGGCGGAGGCCTTCCTCATTCGTATAGAGCAGGGTCGGCAATTAATTCCCTTAGATGACGACGAAATATTTAAATGTCTGCCGTTCTTTTTATCGGGCACCGCGGCCCATTGGTTTCGTCTGAATCAACATCTTTGGCGTACCTGGGGGCAATTCGAGGCCGCGTGGCGTGCGCGATTTGGATGCCCGAACTTCCAATTCACCTTGCGGGACGAGATAATGCGACGCAAGCAGGGGGAAGACGAACCCGTCGCCGATTATATAACCTGCATGCAGGCCTTGTTCGAACGATTGGACCCCCCATGGCAGCTAAACGAACAGCTAAATTACGCGCATAGAAACATGATACCGAGGTTGCGTATAGCTGTGAGGCGTAACGAAATTTATGATTTTCGGTCATTAGAAACCCTCGCGTCGCAGATCGAGGAATGTTACGATCTAGATAGACAGCCGACAACAACGCGGTCTATTTTTCCGGAACTCGCGTATAAGGGAGCATCGCGATCACCTAGACACCCGAAAACGGTCGCCGCGGCCGCAGTCCCCGCGACCGCGCCCAAGAAAAGGGGGAAAGCTACCGAGACGAAGAGGCCTCCGGTGGCCGCCGTGAATAACGCGGGTACGGACACGACACCCTCCTCATCCACCGCGAGTAGCCGATTAGCCGACATGAAATGTTGGAATTGTGGACAAAAGGGACACCGGTCGCGAGAATGTACGCAGACGCGAAGTCTGCATTGTTATCGGTGCGGAAAGAAACAGCACACGACGCGAACGTGTCCAAATTGCGCGGGAAACGAGGGAGAGAGTCGGTAGATC